AGCGAGTTGAAATACCCGGACAGACACACACACACACACACACACACACACACACACACACACACATCCACACTGACAGGGTCATTGCAATATGCGTTTTTGCTGCCTGCTGCAGCGCTCTAGCGCTGCACGGCAAAAACGCATAAAAACACCCTCTACCTTTTCGGCAAATTTTAAACAAAAAGAAACACTTAAACGAATAATGAAGTAAGGGCATGAAAACTCTGTATGCATCAAATAAAACAACAGCGACGAATCGGCAATTGGCCAACCAGAGGTTACTTGGAACTTTAGGTCGCACCACGGAACCGCTGGACTTTCTGTAGCATCTATGTGTGAAAGGCGCTGTCGAAAGATGAACTCGCGAACTAATTCCCTCTAGAAAATTAAAACGTTTCGGTGCGCAGATGTGGAAAATGCAGTGGAAAAACGAATATGTGGTGGTTCGGAACTAGCACGAGGTCCAGCAATTGTCGGCAAGGACAGCAACACGCGCTTTCACCAGATTTTACTTACTCGCATCGCCTCAGTGTTATGCTGAAAGACTCTCGTCAAGCAAAGAGCCTGACTATTTACGTGGACGAGAAGAGACACGCAAAGCATCCGTCGCTCCATATTGCATTAGTGTATCATGAAGTAAGAAAAGAAATCTAGCAAATTTGCAACAACCAGACCTGTGCATAATTAAGGAAGAATAGTTGATCATGCGTTAAATTAACGCCTGGCAAAAGCGTATACTGCGGATGACTGCGCTCGTACTTTTTGTAGGCACTGTATGCTTGCTTCAAGCCTCCGTTATCAGCAATATTTTCACCCTAAAAATGACTGGTTTCATTCAGTTGTATACATACGGCGACTAGGAGGCTGTATTGATAATTTCCACTAATATCCGCCTATCCGCTCTGTTTGTTCATGCAGATAAGCGATGAAACATAGAAAGCTCTTCAATAAGTCCATCAATACATGTAATAACTACATCCATTCTCTGATGTTAATATTTCAACTTTGAATGACATGCACCTAGAAGCTGGCATTTCTGGTTCCCGAATTAGCCGTCAAAACTTCCATGCGCTCATACGTGGAGGCTTAGACGTGCGCGAGGAGTGGTACCGCGGTCCTGGGGTGACACTTGGCAGGAGAGCCCACTCGCAAAATTTTGGCGCGGAGCTTGCTTGGGTACCGAGTATTTCAGCTCAGCAGACGCACACACAAACACACACACTCACACATGCACACACAGAGACAACCTTTAGTCAACACGTGTTTTTGCATCTGCATAAATGAGCATAAACGCATAAAAATATGCAACGCACACATTTTATTTATTTTTGCCGCGCAGCGCTACAGTGCTGCTACAGCGAGCAAAAACGCATATTGTTGAGATGTCATCTGTGTGTGAATGTGTTCGGAAGCAAGTGCATTTTGTTACCCACTTTCATCTCACCAACCAGGAAAGCTGGGTGGGTAAAATTTTGGAGACATGTTCCTACCCTATGTGCCATCCTCCCGTACATACACACGTACAAAAACTTTCACACACGCATAAATACAAAAAAAAAACGCACCTATTAACATGCACATAAGCAGACACTCACATAAAGGCATAGTTCACCAAAATGCTTTTTTTTCAGGCGTACAAAACATATAGTGAAAAAGGGCAAACTTTCGTGCTTCGACCATTAATTTTCATATCCACTTGCTCCAGAACATATGCCGAGTACTGATCTTCGATGCACTGCGCTTTACTTTCAAATTTTTCGATCGTAGCATTATCCCACCATTGTCGAATGTTACCCAAATTATCATAGAGCCTTCCTATATTCATTCATTATGCAGAAGAAAATGAAATTAGTAAAAACAGTTCTAAAACTGTCTTAGACATGATGGAACGTAGTGGAATGTGAGCTGCACTAGTGATTCCCACCCCGTTCCACAGCATTCACTGTCTGTGTTTACAACTAAGGAATGAAAAGCAGACAGGCTTGCCTACATTACGTTCTATACATAGCAAATTTACATGCATTATACATTTTTTAATACATTTGCTGTTTAACAATCTTCT